ATTTAAAAAAAAAAAACTTAAAAAAAAAAAGATGTAATGAGCAATGGACAGACACATTTCTTCCCTCATAAGGCTTAATGACTAAAGAAAAAGAAAAGTGGATAATTTCAGTACAGTGAGATAAAGGCCAAGAAGAAAAAAGCAGTTTTCCATGATCGAAGAAGTATATAAATTCATTTCTTTGCCTCGAAGGGAATAATTTATACTGGACTCCAAAATGAGATGTATTCTCTAAACAGAACCCTCTGAAATCCTTCTTTAAGCTGAGGAACAGCTGACATCAGCTTTTCTTTACACACTATCACAAAATGATGACATAAGATCCATGATCAATCATGATAATCACCAGTAAATGGTTCCATCCTCAGAGTGTCTGCCTGCTCTAGATTTGGGAAGTCCTCCTCATTCTCACTGTGAACATCTCTGCTACTTCCCAATTTGCCTGTATCTACACTTCTCTTTGCACTTCCTATCCAAACAGAACTTCCTGGATATCGATCCCTGTGATGGAAACTTTGAATATTTTTGCTAGCTTGCCTATCTGGAATTCTGCATGCCCATTTATGCCAACAAAAATTCTTGAATGGAATCTTCCAGTTGGGCTTGAAAACACTAAACATCTTCTCCCACACAATCTGACACATCATTAAGAATGATTTAAATATCATCACCAAAATATAAATCCAATCTTTCCTTACTTCTGAAGCAATAAACAACTTCCTCAGTTCAGACTGTCACAACCAGACAGGAAAAACCTAATTGGTCTCCTTGCCTTCCATCTTACTACTTTTAATGCAACTTCCACATCTCTATCAGAGTGATGTTTCTAAAATACAAGCATGTGCCTGCGTTGTTCAAAACTCCTTCGTGATTCACTAACTGCCTACCTGAATCAAGCTCCTCAAAATGGCACACACTGCTCTTTTTGAATGGCCTGCTGCCCTCAAAGGCCTGGCTTACAGTGGCCCTGATGCACCTAATGACTGCCTCTGACTGGGGCTTCACCCCTGCCTTTTTCTGACTTACTATTTTATATTCCGTTTTGCAAAGGCACTTGGCATTTCTTTGCACTTATCATGTTGTTTCTCTTCTGTGTCATTCCTAGGTTTCTCAATATGTAGTCTTCTCTTTCTTTACCAGATTAGCTTCACGATTCATCTCAGGCATCAACCTCCATGGTAGCTTCTACATATTTTTATTATAATAATATATAATTCTGAAAATATCAACATAGGTATCTTTTTTGAAAAACAGAGTTTACTTAAGAAGCAAGACCATTTTTTTTCTTGTTTGCTGTTAAGTTCACAGCATGTAACACAGCATCTAGGATCTACTGACCCAGTAAGTTTGCTATCAAGCTTAATAAAACTTGGAGAGTTCATGCCTTGTCAGACTTTATAACAAAAAAACAAAACCCATAATCCACGAGAACTCCTTGCCCACCAATTCTTAAATGACCTTAAACCCTCTTCCTTCCTGTAATGTCTTACTCTTATCATTCATTGGTTATTTTATCTGGGAATCTGGTTCCACACTCAGGTGGACTTCCTGTTTATGTTATGCCTCATGGCCAACAACACAACTGTGATACAATCCCCACCCAGTCCTCTATTTTTCTAGAATTAACACTAACAGAAGAAATTCATTTGGCAGATTTATGAAAACAATTACTAAATGCCCTCAGAGGTCCTTCTAATACTGCAAGATGTCACCACAGACCACCAGAACAGCAATTCTATTTTCCATACAGCTTTTGTTCTCTGATTTCAGATCTTATCTTCAATACTTATAGAGGTATCCAGTCATAGTTCATGGGAATTACAGTATTGTAGCCCATCAATAACCTAAGCCATCTTTCTGGTAAATAGATTCAATTCCTCCTTAGTCAGTTGGTCAGCATGATATTTTTTATCACAACCCTTTTACACTGTAGAAGAACAGTTGTCTCATGCAGTATTAAAACTGGCCTGATCAGAAGCTCAATCCCATTAAATGATAAGGGAAAACTGCTCACCAAGCTCCCAAATTAAAGAGCTATGATTAAGAGTCATCTCTGGCTCTCATAATTTAACTGAACCAAAGCAGTGAAAGCTTTCTGTTCAGAAATGATAAAGATTTCAACTTGAAAGAAAATTCCAAGTACATTGCTCTTGTTGTCAGAACTCTGCAGTTGGGCAAAAGAAAAAAAAAAGAACTGTTGTATTAATGCACCACAGAAGTTTCTGGGAAAAAAATTCTGAGGTAGCAAAATATGTATATTCCAAATTTCCTATGCAGGTGGCATAAATAAAAACACTTGTATTTGTTTGTCAGAAACGTTTAGGAAGGCAAAGGACTGCCATACTTAAAGTAGGACACAGGAAAATCTATAAGCTAAGGTAAATTCTAATGCTCAATCACAATATTTTTATGATCAGGAAGAGATTTCTCGTCTTCACAGTTGGCCTTCGAAGGTGGGCCTGCTCTCACCTGCATCTTCCACTGTACCTTAGTCACCTATCACAGTGCATTTTCTGTGCTCGCTCATACATTTTGTCCTTCTCCCTAGCGTTTTATCCATATTTGACCAACTGGAGAACTTCGATTTTTGTTGTTGTTGTCAAAAATAAGCTTAAATGTTGCTTTTTGGGAGGAGCTTTATATGAATGCTGGCACCACCACACCTTGCCACCCTCCCAGCACAAACACGAGGGTAACTGTTCCTTTTTCTATGTTCTCTGGTTAATGTTTGCATGTATCTACAACAATATAACATATTTCAAAGATTTTTAGAATTTGTTTAAATCTAAATTTTCTCTGTTGGACTTGGAACATGCAATGAAAATTCATGACTTGCTAAGCATTATTTCCACCCACAGTGTGTGAAATCCATGAGTACACAATCACTATTCTTGACTGAATGAACTGAGACAGCTGGATGGCAACAGGCACAATGTTTCAGACGCTGCACACACTCAGTCTGCTTTCCACTCTACACGGCATTCGACAAGTCACTTTCCTTCCTTGAAAGTTCATTTATTTCTTATTTTTCCAATTAAAAACAAAAGACAAAAGCTAAAGCTTCCTTCTTGTTAAAACAACAACAAAAAGGGGGGAGGGCCTAAACTGGCATTCAAGTGACATGAAAGATTTGCCATTTTAGTATTTTGAAGCTGAGGAAACTAGTCTAAAAATGAATGCAGGTAGTAAGAACAGACGTGGTGGGGGTAAATATATTTACAACTCCTCTGGTCATCGTTTCCCATATGTTTCTATTATTAGTTGAAAGTCAGAGAGAACACTGCCCTATCCTCAGCTATTGCATTTCCCAAATGCCTGGAATAGGCAGGGCTGGGGCAGGCCAACGTTGGGAGCTGGGAACTCAATGCGGGCCTCTGACATGGGAGGCAATCACACAATTGCTGGAGCCATTTCACCTGCTGCCTCCCGGGTACACATTAGCAGGCAACTGGAATCAGAAGCAGAACTGGGTCTCAAATCCAAGCACTTCATATAGGATGCAGCTGTAACAAGAGGCACCGTAAGTGCAGCACCAAAAACCTATCCCCTGCATGTACTGTAATCAGTGAATTTCCAAGCAATCTGATAGATGAATTAAACTGACAATCATCCCAAGATCTGAAAAAATGTCTTTGCTAAAATTAAAAAAATTGTTCAGGGTCCAGCACTGTGGCATAGTGGGTAAAGCCACCAGCTGCAATGCCTGAATCTCATATGGGTGCCAGTTTACGTCCCGGCTGCTCCATTTCCCATCTAGCTTCCTTGTTAATGGCCTTAGAAAAGCAGTGAAAGATGGTCCACGTGTTTGGGGCACTTTATCTGGATGAAGAAGAGAGCTGGATGAAGCTCTTGGCTGCTGCCTTCCGCCTAGCCCAGCCCTGGCCATTGAGGCCTTCTGGGGAGTGAACCAGTAGATCTCTCTCTCTCTCTCTCTCTCCCTCCCTCCCCCCCCCTCCCCCTCTCTCTCTCTCTCTTCCTCCCTCTCTACCTGTAACTCTTTCAAATAAATAAATAATTTTTTTAAAAAAGAAGCAAAATTGAAAAATTGTTCTTTTTTTTTATTTTTGCTTAGCTCCCATTAAATTTAAATCATAATGTCAAAAAACCACAAAGCAGGAAAGCTATCTTCAGAATATCAAGTTTACCCGGAATTTTTTGTTGTTGTTGTTGTTGTTGACAGGCAGAGTTAGACAGTGAGAGAGACAGAGAGGAAGGTCTTCCTTCCATTGGTTCACCCCCCAAATAGCTGCCACGGCTGGCACACTGTGCCGATCCGAAGCCAGGAGACAGGTGCTTCCTCCTGGTCTCCCATGCGGGTGCAGGGCCCAAGCACTTGGGCCATCCTCCACTGCCTTCCCGGGCCACAGCAGAGAGCTGAACTGGAAGAGGAGCAACCAGGACAGAACCAGCGCCCAAACCGGAACTAGAACCCGGGTTACCGGCGCTGCAGGTGGAGGATTAGCCTAGTGAGCCACGGCGCCGGCCTTGTTTACCCTGTAATTTTGTAAAAGACACCGAGAATGGTGTAAGGATTTGCTTGAGTCACATGTAATTGACAGGCTTTGAGCCTACCCTCACGAACCTAAATTTATTAAGTATATATGTGCACAATGATTAGTTCCATTTACTCTGACATTTGTGTACTTCCAGAGACATTGCCTATTCCAAGAAGAAAAATCTCTCTCTCCAATGGTCTGATTCCTGATATTTCACAATTTTTCCTTCCTTAATTCTCTCATTGTTTGCCTACGTATTTTAGCTAAATTATAAATGTTAAAATTATAAATGTTAAAATACAAAACATGGAAGTTTCTTAAATGCACCACAGTGATGTCTTATCCTGCAATGCAGAAATATACCTTCAAAAGAAGAGTTATGTGACAAAATATAACCAAAATATATATAAATATATATATAATAAATATAACCAAAATATAAAACCAAATAGGATTCCTTGAAGATCGTAAGTATAAAAACTTTAGAATCAAAAGATTAATTACCTTGCTTTCTGCTAACCAGCGATGTGCGTCATAATGTATATCAGGACTAGATGAAAAAACCTACAATAAGAATAAAGAGTATTAGAAACATATTTTTCTCTAAAATTAAATTATTCATTATACCATCAAAAAGTTTAAGTCTCAACTTTAAGGAGTTAAAAAAAGAAGAAAGTTTATGCCAAAATATTCAACCAAAACTTATAGGAGACACAAATTTAACCTATCTGTATTGATCCGAAGCCCATGTGCTATCACACAGTGAATACCAAGGCCAGAGTTATGGGAAGAGAGAGCAAAATCAGCATAGGATATAGATTTAATCCAGTAAGTTAAGCTCTTGAATCATCAAAGGTTGGCCAATGTTAATGATGTATCTTAATAAAAACACTCTCCTAATTGTTTGATAATGGTGACAGTTTACATGTATGAATTTACCAAAATTGACTACATACTAATATAGTTACCAGAAAACCAAAAGTTAGAAATAATAGCACCATTCCCCAGAACTTTTCTCAAGCTCATTTGCTTCATGTTTCTGATCAAACTCATTCCATAAAATTCTCAATGCAAAATAGCAGAAAATTTCACCAGCAACATTTCAAAATTTAAGAAATTACAAAGAATACCTTGAATTCTTTCTTTTTAGGAAACATTTTCAAGATTCTCCTGCCACCTTCCTGTACAACTATCAACTACAAAGCAAAGAATCAATTTTATCTTTAACAAATCCTTTAGTGGTTTCTTGAGGTGACAGTAAATGTTAAGCACTTCAGTATATCCATCTTTTTTCAAGTATACAGGAGCAAACAAAAGTTACTAATGGAAAATATTCACAATAAAAAGTATGTAGACCAGGGGCTGGCGCTGTGGTATAGCGGGTAATGCCAATGCCTGCAGTGGCGGCATCTCATATGGGTGCCAGTTCGAGTCCCAGCTGCTCCACTTCCGATCCAGCTCTCTGCTGTGACTGGGAAAGCAGTGGAGGATGGCCCCTGAGTCCTTGGGCCCCTGCACAAGCGTTGGGAGACCCAAAAGAGGCTCCTGGCTCCTGGTTTTGCATTGCCCAGCTCCGGCAGTTGTAGCCATTTGGAGAGTGAACCAGCAAATGGAAGGCCTCTCTCTCTCTTTCTCTCTATGCCTCTGCCTCTCTGTAACTATGCCTTTCAAATAAATAAATAAATCTTTTTAAAAAAGAAATAAAATATAAATTTTTAAAATTCAGAATAAATATTACATTGCTAATATGAACTTTCAGATAAATTAGGATTTTCTAGGCCACACATTTACTTGAAAGGCAGAGTTATAGAGCAGTTACAGAGAGAAGAAAAGAGACAGACAGAGAGAAAGAGAAAGAGAATCTTCCATCTGCCAGTTTACATCCCAAATGCTGGGACTGGTTCAGGCTGAAGCCAGGAGTCTGGCACTCTATCCAGGTCTCCTAGAAGGGTGGCAGGGTCCCCAGCATTTAGGCCATTTTTTTGCTGCTTTCCTAGGCACATTATTAACAAGGAGATGGGTCAGAAGTGGAGCAGCCAGGACTTGAACTGGTGACCATATGGGATGCCAGTGTTTCAGGCAGCAGCTTAACCAATGAGCTACAACACCAACTCTGTATGAGCAAATTTAAAACTAAAAAAAATCAGCATTAGATAGGCAAAAGAATAAACTAAAAATAATAACAGGCCCAGTAACAGTCCTAAAAGAGTTAATTTTCTACCTAAAGCACATTATTTCCACATTAGGCTCACAGTCTTTTCAAGATGAAATTTGACTTTTTTAAAAAATGTATTTAGAAAAATATTCCACCACTTTACCAAACTCTACCAGTTGAAATCTCACATTTTAGTTTAATACTAAGAAACTGTTGATTACAAGAAAAGAATTATTTTTTTCTTTTAAATACCATAAAAGAGAAAAGTGGGGGGAAGATGTGGAAGAACAGGAAAAAGAGGGAAACACAGAACATACTAGTTTAAGGGAAAATCCTTCTAGAAAAAGACAAATAAATGAAGAAACATCTGAAGAGGAAAAAGCATAATACCATAGTAGGAGTGCTGTCATACAGAGGTAAGAGATGTGTTACAGTGTGTTATGGTTTGACAATATCAAAGCAACCTAGTGCTCTCTGTATGTAACACAGCAGTATCAGAGCCTACACTTGAAAGAGGTGCTTACTTTCAAGCAATTCAAAGCACCCTTCATACAATTTTCTTAAGTAAAATTTAAAAAATAAATAGTAACATTCCACTTTAAAAATAGGAAAACCAAATTAAATATAAGTTTTTCAAATAGGAAGGCAGGGAACATACTGGTTACTTGTACAGATTCCAGACTCCTAAGGTTTGAAGTCCTAGGTTAGCATTTAACGAGATGTATGGCCTGTCACTAGTTACTGAACCCCTCTAAACCTCACTTTATCTTCTCTATGGTGAAATTAATCAAAGTACCTAAAGGAAGGGTAGCTTTAGGGGTAAAGAAAGAGACTGCATTTACTGTACTTCTCACAGAAACTGTAATATACACTCAATAGTTGGTTGCAAGTAACATACAAACAGCAACAAAAATAGCCTATCATGATGAAAAATTCAAAATCCAGGGCTCCTGACTCCAAGGTTATTTTCTTTAGCCAAAACTGCTGCCTCTCTCATAAGACATTTTCTTTAACTGAGTAAAAAACAGGCAATTCACTGGAATAACACCATATTTCTCTCTCCATGATTGTGGACTAGATACAGTGCTTCATTGGAAAAAAGGGAAGGAAGTGATATTGTTTCCTAAAACTTTCTGAATGGAATAAAAATATGACTACCATGTAACTAGAGATTAAAATCTATAATTACATACTAAGAAACAAACTGAAAATTATGGCACAATGAGAACTCATAATTACTTTCAATTTTTCCATGGAGTCCCTAGAGAAGGTTTTGCAAGCTGCATCAATTTCCTTCCCTATCACCCCAAGAATGGACTCCTGTTCAGTCTCCAGACAAAGCAGTTGATCCTTGAGCTGCAGTCTGGCCTCTTCCATTCTTCTTAAGTGCTCTTCTTCTTTGCTTATATGTTTCTCCTAATGCATTAATAAGAAATAAAACAGAAGTTGATTATAAAGTAGAGACAAGAAATACTTGTAATAGCTACATAATAAACAAAAGAACCAGGTTAAAAAACAGATTTGACCCCATCAATCCATTTACTAAAATAAAACACCCTACTTATTATCTGAGGAAAAATTATAGAGTTCAGAGGTACAGCAGTTTTGAAACTGTTAAGAAGATACACAGCAAATAAAATTATGACAGTTCTATAACCAACAAACAAAAAGAAATTGAAAAAAATCCTTTACCATTTTAACAGCATGATGGATCAGAGTAAAAGCTGATACCACAAATCAACTTACAGCTTTACTAAACATTAGCAAAAAGTAAAAAATCTAAACTAACAAATATGAAGCCTCTAAGTCTCCTCGTTTGGAAAAAAATTTCACAACCGTCAACACATCACAACATAGCTTGAGAAAACACAGCTTGAGAAAAAGACTAAGTTTTCAAGAGCAGTCATAGTATATAAATCTCCTTGAATCATTAAAATCTGTAAAAGATGGAAGTAGTTTCCAAGTAATTAAATCTACTTAATGAAAAGGGGTTTCTAAGGAGCCCTGTAAGAGATTTACAAAGATTCAGGGAACTTCTCTAGGCAAAACAATTCTCAATCATTATCATTATAAAATTTCATTCCTAGAGAAATTCAAAGTGCTACTGTACAGGAATTATGTCAAAATAACATTCTCCGGCTGGCGCCGTGGCTCACTAGGCTAATCCTCCGCCTTGCGGTGCCGGCACACCCGGTTCTAGTCCCGGTCGGGGCGCCGGATTCTGTCCCGGTTGCCCCTCTTCCAGGCCAGCTCTCTGCTGTGGCCAGGGAGTGCAGTGGAGGATGGCCCAAGTGCTTGGGCCCTGCACCCCATGGGAGACCAGGAGAAGCACCTGGCTCCTGCCATTGGATCAGCGCGGTGCGCCGGCTGCAGCGCACCAGCCGCGGCGGCCATTGGAGGGTGAACCAACGGCAAAAGGAAGACCTTTCTCTCTGTCTCTCTTTCTCTCACTGTCCACTCTGCCTGTCAAAAAAAAATAAAAATTAAAAAATTAAAAAAATAACATTCTCTAGAATTGCATGTGTGAACAGTGTGTCAAAATTGTAATAGCTGGCTAATGTGCCTTTACTCATTACAGGGTAGCCTAATCAACTTAAATCCACTACATACAACAAACCCAGCTTGAATTCCTCAAAACATCACAAGATCTACACACTGAAAATTAATCATAAAAGGTAAAATGACGTTTTAGAACAAGAAACACAAATGATATTTTCTTTCAACTTTTGTTAAAATAATAATCAAAACAGGGGCCAGCGCCCTGGCGCAGCAGGTTAAACCTCTTCCTGTGGCACTGACCTCCTATATGGGCACCAGTTCTAGTCCCGGCTGCTCCTCTTCCAATCCAGCTCTCCTCTGTGGCCTGAGAAAGCAGTGGAAGATGGCCCAAGTTCTTGGGCCCTGCACTCACGTGGGAGACCAGGCAGAAGCTCCTGGCTCCTGACTTCAGATTGGCACAGCTCCGTTACAGCCATCTCGGGAGTGAACCAACAGAAGGAAGACCTTTCTCTCTGCCTCTCCCTCTCACTGTCTGTAACTCTACCTCTTAAATAAATAAATAAAAAATATTTAAAAATAATCAAAATAAGGGCAGGCATTTGGCCTAGTGATTAAGATGCTACTTCAGATGCCCACATCCCATGTGGAAATGCCTGCTTCAGATTCGTGGCTCTGCTCCCGATTTTAACTTCCTGCAAATGTGCACCGTGATAGTAGCTCAAGTACTTGGGTTCCTGACAACCATATGAGGGACCTGGATTGAGTTGCCAGCTCTTGGCTGAAGCCTGGCTGAGCTCTGGCTGTTGCGGCCATTTAGGGAATAAAGCAGTAGACAGGAGATAGTCATTCATTCATTCTCATTCTCTCTCTCTGTCCATGCCTTTCAAATAATTTTTTTAAAAAATGAATGAATGGAACTTTCAGCCAAAAGCAAAGATTTCATAACTTGTCTTGCACCTTTTGTCCAGGCTTATCTTCCTTTTCAGTCTCTCATATTTTTACTATTTGCAGCTTCTTAGATATGCCTACTTAGTCTTCCCCTGACCACAAATGATGTATATGTAATGATGTATATAATGCTGCCTGAGCTACTACTACTTCAAAGTGGGGTGCGTAGCCAAGAATCAGCATTTACCTTCAAGGTACTCAGAATGGAATGATTAAAAAAAATATATATTTTTTTAAAAGGGAAAGAGAGAGATTTCTTCTATCCACTGGTTCACTCCCCAAACATCCAGAACAGCTACTGGGGCTGGGGCTTGGCCAAGTCAGGAATTCCATCCAGGTCTCCCATATGGGTGGCAAGGACTCAAGTACTCCAACCATCATCTGTTACTTCCTAGGTACATTAGCAGGGAGCTGGACTGGGAGCAGAGTAGCTAGAAATCAAAACAGCACTCCAGTATGGAATGCAAACATTACAAACAGTGGCTTAACACACTGAGCCATCATGTCAGCCTCAGATTGGAACCATCTGTCAGCAGCCAGCATTAAGCCTGCAAAAAGCCTAATGCTTAAACTAGAACAATTAGTTACCAATTTATGATGAGAACTATAGCTGTTTGTGTCAGCATAACCAGCACATTGTCTTCCTCTAGATTCATCAAGAAAGGAAATCAAATTCTAATCAGAATATTGTTGCATCAACAAGAAATCAGAGAAAAGAGAATTCATTTTATTAACAAAATACTTAGATGACATCAGGTTAACACCATTCTACCATGTCCAGTCACAGATCAGGGATTTAGAAACCACAACAGCGGTAGCATTCCACTCTTCTGGGTAGCCTTTGGATGGAAGGTACTAAGGTCTAACTCCTTAACTTTCAGCTTTGTCTGTTAAGACTTTCCTTCCAGCTTAACACACAATTTCTACTGACATTTTCACCAAGTCTTGTTCTTATCTAGCAGCTTTTCCAAAAAATTAACAACCTGGTTCCAAAGAATATTTGGTAATTTTATACTTTACTTAGGAGGAAACAACCTCACTGTCAGGTCCCTAAGGGAAGACACTTGCTGCTATGGTTTGGATGTGATTTGAGTGGGTCCCCCTAAGGTCTTTGCACTGAAAACTCTGGTCCCAGTGTGCTGATGTTGAGAGGTAGTGGAAACCTTAAGAGGTAGAGCCTAATAGAAGGTCATCGGAGGTGCTGCCCTCAGAAGAGATCAATGTAGTTCTTGCAGGAACCAGGTTAGCTCTCTCTCAAGTCAGTTATTGTGAAAAGAGTAAGCCCAGTCTCTGAATCTCTCGGGCTGCCTATCTCACCATGTGACTTCTTCCGTAGCTCTGCCACTGTGATAGCATCTGCCTTGAGCCCCTTACCAAAGGTTAACGCACATATGGATTGTTCCTCGGCACCTGTTTCCCATATTTCTTATCTTTCAAAGTTATGCATCAAACCCACTCCTTTTTTTCCTGATCTTCCAAAGCAGACCACTCCCATAGTATTTTAGTCATGATTTAAAAAAAAAAAATTTCAGGTTGCAATACAATTGTTTGTACACTTGTCTCCTCAATGAACTAATTTCAGGAGACCATAAAACATGCTTACAACCATTTAAACTTCTACCCCTGACTTTTCTGTATAAGTGATTTCAACATCTTTTGGACACTCAAATTCAACACTATGCAGAGGATTTCATTAACTACCATCCAGTTCCCTGCTCTCAGAGACTACTGAGTTGTGTGAGCAGGTTTTGCCCTCTACATATTTAAGACCTACAAAGGCTGCAGTGTTCTCATTAGTATGATGCTAATAAAGAAAATACTCTTCCAGGGATTACTGATGTATTCGAAGACTGCCAATATTCTAAACCCAAGCAATTCTCAAAGCTGTTTTAATTGACTTTTCTTCTCTTGCTTCCCTCATAGTCTCTCTTACATCCAGTATCACTTTACTGTGGACCCCATGACTTGTCTCTTTTTAATAAAACTATTTCCATCTTTCATTATTTTTAAGAATCTTGATATTGTCAAAAAAAATCTATAAATTCAATGTTTAGCAAAGACAGAAAATGTCATGACATACTCCACTATCCTCTGTGAGATAATTAGCATACAATATCAAATCTCCCTTTGAAGTAAAACTCACTGGAACATGGGCAATCTTGAACCTTACAAGTCAGTAGATTCAACTATCTGTTCTTTCAGGATCCTCTTCCATGACACTTCTATTGAGCATCTCAAGTTTTAAGGAACAGAGCCCCTGACTGACAAAGCCGTAAAAATCGTAGCATTCGTGTATATGCTGGACTTAAATTAAAGAAATGAATTTCCCATCCCTACTAAAGTTTCTGACCTTCCAGGTAAAGATTTTTGATGTTTTCCATTTTTTTTTTTACTAGATTCCAATCACAACACCCCACTGCATCCATCCTCTGCATGTGCTCCAAGCTCCTAAATCTAAGAGTTTCAAGTCTTTCAATTCTGTACTTAATCAGCTATAATTTCATTCATTCATTCACAAATATCTGTGAAGACCTTAACAATACATTATTCTGTGCATCACAAAGAGTAAGCAAGATAAACAAAGCTCCTGCCTTCATAGAGCTAACAAACATCCCATAAAACTGTAGCTTGTGAGAACAGCACTGTGGTGCAGAGGGCCTGCAAAGCCAGCATCCCATGAGTCCTGGTCCAATTCCAGGCTGCTCTACTTCTGATCCAAATCTCTGCTGATGCAAGCGGGAAGGTGGCGGAAGAGGGTCCAAGTGCCTGGGGCTCTGCTATCCACGTGGCAGAACCGGATGGAGTTCTGCGTTTCTGCCTTTGGCCTGGCACAGTCCCAACATGGCAGTCATCTGGGGAGTGAACCAGCAGATGGAGGATTCTCTCTCTCTCTCTTTCTCTCTCTCTCTTTCTCTCTCTCTAATTCTGCCTTTCAAATAAATCCTTAAAAAAATTTTTTTTTCACTGTG